GCAGCCTATGTTTAAAAGTGTTTGTATTTTTTCGTTGGCTATCCATGAACCTACCCTATACTTTTCTATTCTTGAAGGCTATCTCACCGATTGGACCAGGTATTTGAAGAAACAGCGATAGTGCCATGTTGTGGTGCGACCCATGAAGTTTCAAATGGCATATAAGAGAAGTTACATTAAGCCTTTTATAGCGGCTAAAAAAGCCAAAATATTCCAGTGCTGATTAGAAATTACCACACGAATACAATCGTACATATAGTCTTATCACCCTATTAAAAGGGTTTTCAACCAAGACCTTTCTATACGATTACATGCAATTTTACAAGCGCTTTCTAATCACCTCTGATTGAGACCTATGTATTGAGGAACACATGAGTAATGGTGAAAATACAATCTCAAATTTTGACATACTAGCGTGGACAAAGATCAGGGTACTGGGACCCTGAAAAATCATTCGAGATAGCAGTTTTTCGAATTGACAAATCATTCTAAATAGCCTTTCTCATCGAATGGGACCTGTTTTCCTTGCCTCATATTTCAATGTTAAATATGTTTTGATACTATGTACTATATTACATGATGATTGCTTGATTTTATTGATTTAATATTTTACGAAAAAATTGTTAGCTGTGTTATATAAAATAAAAACTTTAAAAAAATAAAAACACACAAAAAAAGAAGATTTTTAGCTTTGCAAATCATTTATTTGATCGATAAACTTTTGAATAGCTGTTGTTTCTAAATGTATTATATTCAAGAACGAGTTCATTATTTCTCTTTTTGTTTTGTCTTCTCATTTGGGTAATTTAACCATAAAAACACTGCTCTAGCGAGAAAAAGACCAATCGATCCATACAAATTTCCAATTGAGCTTAATTGTAGTGATGAACCATATGTCAAATGATAATTTAAAAATGAAAACATATGAATAAGATCTCCAATTGCCATACATGAGACAAACAGTTTTAATATATGTTTTTTTGTTGAATGGATATCAGTTGGAGTAGATATTGATGTAGTACAATAACGTACCAGGAAATATTCAATCATTCCCAAGAGGCTCATCACCGTACTGAAAATAGAAAAAATGAAAATGTCAAAACTGAACAGTTAACAGTTTAGTAAAGCTTTGAGATAAAAGATAAAATCAAATTTTTTCGAGCGTCTTTCTATTCCTTTATCTTAAGTTTGTTTCTTTAACATATGATCATCTCTTTCTGCCTCTCTCCACAACGGGAGTTTGCCACAAGTCGTGGCGGAACTGCCTAGAATAGGTGACGAGGTAACGAATCAGCTCACCACATTACCACTCTCAGCTTTCGTCCTCATCCCCATCTCTCACTCTCACTCTTATTCCCATCCTCAACTTATTACTTTGTTACCTCATCACCTTAGCTTCGGCAGTTCCGCCGTGACTTGAGGCATCCTACGACACAATTAGCACCTACCAAAACATTCTTGTTATCATATGTAACACTGGATGGTCCATCACATTTGAGTTGCTAAACGATGGACATAATTGCTTTAGTAACGCACTAGGAAAAAACATTCCAAATAGGCCAATAGTAAGATTAACTCCAATTGCCTCACCATATTGTAAAAATAGTAAAAAGAAAAATGAATATCGAGCTGACGAAATCATTATCTGAAACATAGAAAAAAGACTTGCTAATTTTCGTCACGTGAAATTCATTGTTAGAATAGACCATCAAAATGAAAATAGAAAATAAAGAACTTTCATTTTCGATCTACAAATCGATAGGCGAATCATATCTTTGAAGAGATAAACTTCCACTTGAAGGATTTATCATTATATCACACCGAAATTAAAGCTGATAGTATAAACAAATTCTCACAATAAACTTTAGCTTTGTGGGTACTTCTTCAAAACGTACACGCCTCATTATAAGATTTGAAATGAAAATCTAAACAAAATATTTTCTTACATTTTGCTTATACAAGCAAAGTGTACAAAAGCCAAGTTTTTCACGATCTTAAAAAGTAAAAAATAATGTTCGTATTTTTCTTTGATGAGAAGCATAGACTGATACGTAGCAAACAAATAAACGATAATATATGTGTAATTTTATTGTTTGACGCGTTTACGAAAAAATGGAAAAAGAAAACAAACATAAATTGCAGATCATGTTTAGATGATAGTAGTACTGTTAACTAAACATAAATTTTTATTTAATACTACATGCAGCTTGTGAGGTTCTGAGGTCAAAATTTACGTTTTTCCACCAAAGTGTACTGAGTACACTTTAGTTTTGTGAGCAACGTGATAGGAAAGAAAAAAACATCATTAGTGCGCGCATTCTATCGATTATATATATGTATTTAAAGATGACGCTGTATTGTTAATGTGTATAAGCGTGCCAAAAACAAGAAGACATCATATAATTTGAATAATAATTTATTTAAAAGAGAAAAGAACGTCTAATCAAACGTGATTTTTAAAAAATGTATGTAAACGCTCGATGCAGTGTACATGCACACGTATGCATCCCTATAATCGGACAACGTGTGGGTGCGTTGGACCTTGAACTATACTCACGAATGTACGCATAAAAGTTTTGCTCATGTACGCGCATTAATATACTGTCAGAGGGAAGAACATACGAATATTTTTCTAAACCGGTCACGCGTGTACATACAAGGAGATGTTGGGATGTCCAAAAAAACGAAGCACATGTGACAACTTTGCCTGGACACGCATGAATATGTAGCAGTCTTTTTGTGATATAAAATTCGAACATACGTACTTTGTGTTATAAGACAAACTTCTTCGTTATTCGGCTATTTACTTACAGTAGGATTATGATCAAGCGTGTATGATATAATGATGATTGGTAACTATGAGACATGCATGTACATAGATGTCATTAGTTGCTGAAGTAATTGAAAAAAATGAACAAGTTTTTTTGATTAAATACTGTGATTATGGAACAGAGAAAATTAACTTCTAACAAGAAATAAATAGAATACAAGTAGAAGAAAAAACAAATTCTCGCAAGTGGCAGCATGTATCCTGCACGATGAGAAAAAACTTGCATGTCAACGTTAAATTTGTGTAATAATAATTTTCGTAAACAGAACCTTTTGCATTGACATAAAGAATTTAGTAAAATTCTAGTCATCTGGTAAATGCACGCAAGAAATATGTCAATATTCAATGTGAGCCATATATCTTGCATGAATACGCAAGAATATTACTTACGAATATTTGCAACGATGAATTCTCGCATGATCTCACATGGTTTACTTGAAAATTTAATATGTGGTATTGTTATGCGTGTGTTTGCGACACAGGTCCGTTTGCATGTTTTATTCTTGTATATGTGTACGCGATAAAGATTAATATTAACAATGATTTGCATGTTTGTACGTTATAGATAGTCACTCAAAAAAAGCTTGCAAGCAAACACAAGTATGTGATATTTTCCCGCGAACACATGCGCGTTCCAAACTTCGACGTTTGACAGAGCAACAGAATAGGAGAAAGATCAAAAGTATACTTTACTGCCTTCATCCGATCAAGCATGAACTGTTAAAAACATTTTAGTATTTCAAATACAAATCAAAATAGAAACATGGATTGTTATCTTTATTTGTCATCTGTCTTATTCCATCAAATATAAGTGTTTGTTGATGATCGAGATTGAGGTTGATCAACTTCGAGAGCATTTATTAGGTCTATCAAAATAAATATGTGCAAGCTGTAAGAAAATCTAAAAATATTTATCATTTTTTGAATAATTTTTAAATCGAATTATAAGTTTTGAATCAAAGGGATAACCACAGGTTTGGAATCGCCAACACCTCAGCACCTTTTCAGCACCTTACGACATATTTGATGCTGAGTTGTTGCACTTATTAGATCTGTAACAGTTGTAGCTTAAAAGGTCAAATTAACTGCCAAACAAAATGTTTAAATAATTATTTGATAGGAACTGATCTGATGCAATATTTTTCAGTTAAGCATTAAGTCGTTTGAACAGCTCTTGTAACATTTTGAGTAATGAAATTTCCAATATCCTAGTTATGAAATCGAACTGAAACAAGGCTTCAGACTTGTCGAGTTTCCTTTTTTCGATCAAATTACCATATCAATCTCGAACAATAATAATCAACACATCTCGAAAGATACGCGTTTTGTTCCTGATATGCTATTTAACTTTCATCGTTTCCCAAACTATTCAGTGTACTGTGGTAATGTAGGAAACACCGACAAATCGCTTTTCTTTTTTACCAGAACTCACCAATGAACCAAATCAACTTTCAAATAGAAGGATAATGCCAGTACTAGTTATGCACAAAATAGACTTTTTCATCAATACTTGGCAGAAGTATTTACCATGCGTTCTTATTTGTTTCCTGTACACTTTCCTCTAATCAGTTTCAATAGATACAAAAAGCAGTTCCTTCTCTCTTCCACTATCTCGAACACATTGTTTCCTTCTTGCTCATTTGTTGATATGTTGAGTGAATTGGATAGGCTCTAAAAGAACTAATTGTTGACAAGTCTACCAATTGGTCGTTCGATAAGTAACGTTATAATTCACTAATGTACAAAATATTTTGTGCAAAATCTTCGACAATGTCTTGATCGTGTGAAGCGGAGATGAATGATAGCCATTTAAAATATTTGAAGTTATCTTGAGCTGCCCGTCAATATTCTTCTATCATTTCGGAAGAAATACAATGACAGCGAAAGACAGTCATTAAGTGAGAATCGGTCGGACGAAGAATTAGTTGAAAACGACGACGAATCGAAATATTATCATTGAGATGTTGACCGATGTAGTTGAAAATGGGAAAGTAGTAAGGTCCGAGAGTGCGTACTTTAGTGCAACCATCGTCGCGAGCTACATCGAAAGGCTTTTCCGATGGCTGATGGTATAGGGTCGAGGAAAGGTGTGGATGTTAGCTTCATGTTAGCATTAACATCAACAATCCACATTCACACCCCAGTGTTGGGCAACTTCGGATATATACCGCTCCAACTCTAGATAACTTCGCTCCTATTTTAAAAAATTCCACTTCAACTCCACTCCAATTTTGTCCACCAATTGTAAAATCTCACTCCAACTCTACCCACCCATTGCAAAATTCCACTCCAACTCTAGTGAAAAAAACCGTCAACTGCGGAGTTAACTCTAACTTCGAGTTGGAGTTGCCCAACACTGCCATACCCACATCCTTTTTTTATCCGACCCTTTCTAAGATGTGTATCTCGTTCAATTGAACTTTGTTTCACTGAACAGACGGTATTCACGAAATGAATAGTTTTGCGACAAAAATTATTGAATTTTAAAAGATCCTTCAAAATTATAACTTACGGTCTGTTAATCTTTATTTGAATGTTTCATCGAAATATCAATTACATGTAGCACTAAATGTCTGAAACAGAATAATGACATATATCTACAGCAGACATCATCAAAGAAAAAAAAAATCTACGAATGCAGTCATATGAAGCCACCTCTAATTGTCAAGATTTTAGATAAAAGTAAATACCAAACCATATTCCAAGAAGAATATAATTTAAAAATAGAATGATATTATTGAACCAATACAATGTACGATGGCAATAGGTCGTTGTTTTTGCTGGATTCCAATATTGAATCTTTTGTTCAATCTTAAATGCCCACACAGTTCCACGAAGTATCAATAAAAATGTCATCAAACAAAAGAAAAATAACATATATATAAGGATAGTCGATTTTCTGTAAGATAGAGTAAAAATGAGTAGAATGCATAGACCGATCATTGCGCCTTCGATAATCAAAAACATAGGTAACATTCGTTATATTGGACATCGATCTATATATAGACTTCCTATAACAATCATTGATATGGGGACAGTTAATACAAGGCTTAATGTAAAAAAGCGAAGTCGCCAAGGACATGAATTGTCTTCTTTTTGACTATTTTCATCAGTGCCTAACATAGCAGCCTCAGAGTCATTCATATCTAAAAATACAGATAATCAGTATCGATCAAGAGACGATTTACTTATCTTTTAATATATCTAGCCAAATCATTACAAACAAAGGACATGACAAACCTTCTGATCATTGTTAGAATGAAGAATAGAATAACAATTCAGAGGAAAAAAAGATTGTGAAAAATGAATCACCTTGAGAGACGTAATTTGCCCAAAAAATATCATAGTTGCAAAACATAGTTCTCTCTGTTGATTTAATATGTGTTTTGCCACTCTATTATGACTAATGAATGCACACATTCACATAGAATGTTGATAAGGAACGTGAATAACAACCAAAGACATAAAAGAAGATACAGATTCTCGTAACTTCAAATAAATGAAACTTACAGCGAAATCTCAACGTATTGAAAATTTGAAGTAACAGAAAAGAGATCATATGGAAAACGCATTCACATTGAGTTTCCTATTCTCTCATCATATAGAATTCTGAAAAAGAACATTTTACAACTTCGAGAAATATTCGTATTTTAAATAAGCAATATGTTATCTATAAACATCAGCGAAGAATCATGCAAAAAAGTAAAAAAGCAAAACGTTGTATAAAAAGCATTACTTGAGATTTTTTCAAATGCGTTCGAACATTGTTAATGTTATCTTGCCTGATAATTATCAACCTTATTCTTGTTATCATGCACGTATCTTTATGCATTCTAACACACTCAATTCTTCTCTTGAATATTATACGAATAATTGAAAATCCATGCTGAAAAATAAAAAGAGAATTTCGAACATTTCAGCGTTCTCTCTCGTCACAGACCGACAAATATTTCGACATGTCCGCCAAACATAAATCTTTTTACATCAGACCATATTCATTTCTATGCTATGCCTATTTTTCGAAAATTTCTTCATTCTTGTAAATATTTTAAAAGTGGAAAAATATCGTATAACCTAATAGCAGAACAGAATCTAAAAACGAAAAAGTTTGATCCTTTCATATTGTCCAATGGTATTTGAGATATTCAAGAAGATCTCTATAGGTTAGACTACTTTTGTACTCGTTCTGAAGGTGAGAAGAGGGCCCATGTCGCCGATAGCGGTAAAATAGCGCCGTTATAACGTCGTTATAGCGATCGCATTCTGACCCCTTTTTCTAGTTCGTTATGGCCGTTATAGTGCGATATAACGACAACATCAATTAATATTACGCACTATGTGACATAACATTTAGTGTGTTTTGTTGTTTCCATACATGCTTACTTTTATCAATATCTGATATTATAAAAGGTCTGAAATTGAGATCTGCTGACTTTCGCAGCATCAAATTTATTTTATCATATATATATATATATGTATTATAACAAAAATAAATAATGACTTTAACGTCATTAACCATTTCACAATAAATACAATAAGAAAAAAAACAGTTTGTAGTACAAATATCATTTCAGATATATAAAAAAAACGAGTTCTAAGAACAGTATTAATTGAAGAATACTATTCATTGTTCATCGACATTTTAAGCTTTCTCACTGCTACTCTTCGTTTTGCAAGAAAAACTTCACGAAGCCAATCATTAAATAATTGATCTAATTGATCATTTGTTAATTTAAACTTACAACGAACGGATTCTAAAATAAAAAAGAAATAGAGTTATATCATACAGAATAATTGAAATATTAACCTCGTATCAATTGATATCGATAGTCGTTATGTGTTTCTTCTGGTTTTAATGCCACTAGTTCATCCATAGTATAAAGTATTTCAACGAGATTTGTAACATAAAGATTAGCTTTGTCTCTAGTAGCTGGAATTTTCATTAAATCAGTACTTGACATACCATCAGTGGATGTAAATATCTATTAATAAAAAAACAAAAAGATGAAAGCAAAATTAAATATTGTACAATATTGTACTCACCAAACTAGATGGAAAATTTACATCATCATTGGAATCAGCACCTGGTTCATCTAGTGCAATAGATACCTATGAAGGATTCCGATAAACAATAGTCTTGTTTAAAAGGTTAGCAAACTTTTATGAAAATAATTGTTGAAGCAAAATATTGCCGTTTTTAAACCATACCTGTCTCTTGTTCAATACCTTTTGGATCTTCAATTGATTATTGTATAATGTTTTTATCATTTTCTCAATTCGTTCATGAGAAAGCTGTAATGGAATAAAATACTTCTGCTCCATTTGTTTAAGATACGATTCTACGCTGCTTGGAACGTTGATTGTAGAATCTGTTGTAGTTAAAGTAGTAATACGTCGACCATTGAATGTAGGAGTTTTAATTATTTCATTTGTTCGTATTAAATTTTCGTTATCGGATTCAATATCTGAGGAAGATATATTATCTTCTTGAATCTTCTTTGATTTTTTTTTCTTTTTGTTTTGTGGTGGAGAAGGTGATGAGTCAATCGTAGGTCTTGTATGACAATTAAAATTTGATGACGAATTCACTGTTGACGATTTTTTTTTGGTAACTAAACTTGTTTCTCTAATTGACGGTGATGAAGACGAGTTATTCGAATTAATAGAGGTCGCAGTGGTGGTTGTTGTTGCTAAATATTAGTAAATGCATAAAAAAAAGAATTTCAATAAAAAACAAGGATTTGCCTGTTATATCAGTTGCGTTTGGATTTGTAGTAACTTTTGGACAACTTTCATGTCGTGTTCGTTGCCATCCTTAATTTTAAAGAAAAGTTAATATTTTTATGAAAACATAGAACGAACCCTTATTTATTATTGTACTTCCACTACCATTCTTTACTCGAGTTGGAGTCATTCCGTTAATCATATCTAAAAAATTTAAGAGGAACTCGAAAATTATTTCTCACGAATGAAATGACTAAAATTTATCATTTCTCTCATCTGTACTGTGTCTAGTGGATAATTCGAAAATTTAAACAAAAGTCAAAATTTCTTATTTACACTTACTTAAATTTGAAACAGTTTGACGAGGTGAATCATTGTGAATAACATTAACAGGTACGTCAATAGAGAACGGTACATCCTTTAGAGTAGTATATGTTGGTTTTTCTAACAAAATATAAAGTAAACTTTTAGTATAAAAAATAGCACGTACCTGATGTATTTGAAGTGATGTCTTTTGATTGTGTATTTTCGTTTCTTCGTTCGTAATCGCTTTCGATGTCTTCGTGTTGTTTTTGCACAAGACGATCAGCAGCTTTACTACATATCTCAAAATTGCCTAAATTGAAGAATAACTTAGTTATATTTCGATGGTCAATTTCCATTTTACCTGTCTCAAAAATAAATGCCATATATTTTTTATGGCCAGATTGTACAAAAACAAAACCATCTTGCTCAGCTGGTGAACATTGTTTTGATTTAACAACAGAAAATGAATTATCACATGGGAAAATAACTACATGATACACTTCAGAACGTTCCACTGCTCTACGATTTAATGTACAACTTCTAGTAGATGTATTTCTTTCATTCATTATTATTATCTGAAACAAAAGTCAATATATGTGTGATGAATAAGTACCTATAAGTTGATGAAGGTTAGAGACTTGAATACTAAATGATTACGAAGATCGTTGAATATAGTCAATCGTGTTCATAATCGATTCTTATTTCTGATATACAGAATGCATCAAAAATCGGAACACAAATACATTTGTGACGAATATTAGTCACTGGAATTATGAAGAAATTGTTTGAAAAAGACACGAGCGGATAATAAGTGTCTATTAATTTGTGTAATTCGTTGGGTAACTCAACATTATTTGACATTTTTTTCTCACAAGAAACATATTTTTGTATAAGAGCAAAAGTTCCATCATTAATTAATAAAAATATAACTATGTTACCATAATGAGTTACGTTGTTGTTATCATTGTCAACATAAGATACTGTGTGACTATTGCAACTAAATGGACGATCATAAATTAATGAATGATATGTAATAAATACAGATTTGTAACGTTTATAAAAACACGTAATGTTGTTTACATTAATAGAAGTTAGTAATTGACGTAGCATGGGAAGATATTGGACAAGTGCAGGATCGTCTGAATTTATCTTCTATAAGAACAGAGAAATGAAAATATATCGATAAGACATGTCGATCATTCAACAAAGAAAAATAAAAATGAACACATAAACAATTATCATCGCTTAATCTGCCGTCTATTCTGTATTTAAAAGAGAAAGAATATTCAGAGTGTCAGTCATTATAAGAAAAAGAGAGAGAATATCATTTATCGTTCTCCACTAGTAAGGTGCTTTTCTTTTTTCTTGTCGACGGGAGCAAATAATGATTTATAGTTATAACTGTCACACGTTATAAATATTTCCATTTTCTTCACTCACATCCATAAGAGAATTTGTTACTAAATTAAATTTTTTCATTTGTGTTGTACATCGAAGATTATTCCAATATGCAATTTGACTAGCAACATTAGTGCTACCATGAGCACTTTTTTTGATATAACGGATGACTGACTCAAAAGAAAATGCTGATGTATGTGCTAAGCCACCATGTAGACGAACTTGATGACCAAGATGTAAATGTGCATGTAAAGAAAAAATTTCAATAGAAGAATCATAGACATTTGATGCTGTTCGACAATAGTAATCGAGAAGACGTTCACCAAGTAATATATCTTCTTTTGATTGAGGTGCATGTAGGAGTTTAATTGCTAATGAATATATAATAAAATGAGAGAAAAGAAGTGTTGGTAAATGATTAGCCATTATTGGTACTCCAACATATAGTACAAATAAACGTGAATTTTTTGCTTTCCATTGAGATGCTAATTTAATCGATTCTAAAAAAACAGCTTTTATATTGTGTGGAGTACGTAATCGTTGAAGTTTTTTGTCAATATTTAGTATTGACAACTTGTTAATACATGAGCACCATCGGCTTATCAAAGATGGGATATGACATAGACACACAAGGTACATATAGTCATATATAATTTGATCTGGATAACAAAATATTTCAAATAAATATGACAGACCTTTTATACCATCAACTGCTACTTTTTTATGACCTTTTGATTTTTTAACAGCTTCTCGAGCAGATTTCAAATAACCGTCATGAGTACGAGCTGTATAATCATTGTTCGAATAAGGATAAAGCATTTTATTATATTTTGGATTCCATATGCCTAGAACGATAGAAGAATAACGAACTAGAATGAAAAAACAAACAAAATAAGTTAAAAAATTAGAAAGAATTAATTCTTTTCAATAATGAAATTTAAATAAATTACTATGATCAATCCTAAATATTTTGTCCTATATTCAGTAAAGATATAACATGAAACTGCTGTTATCGATTGTCACAAAAATCGAAAATCAAGCTGTATTATAATCTATCTGATACAAAAAAAGCTATGATTAATACTCAATAATTTATGAATATTAGGATTTTACGAAGTTTTTCCTGGTTAAAATTAATGTCATTTAAGTACTTTAATCTACAATAGAAAGTAAAATATTGTTGTAATCGTAAAAAGAACAGCAATTTACCTCTACTATAACAGAAAGTGCATGCTGAATATCCATTGAAACTTGTTGTGCAACAAAAGAGTGATTTTGCAGGTAGATCAGAAAGAAAAAGTTGAGTACCGAGTTGAATATTATATTCGTGATCATCAATAAATATTGAAGTTCCATTTTTAATTAAAAGTGATAAATCATTTACTGTTTGATCTAAAAATGTATTAACGTTTGGTTTCATTTTCGATACCCATAAAGCAAGTATAATGATGTTTGATTGGAATTCTCTTATTGGTGGAGGAAGTTCTGTGATAGATGCAAAGCATGGCCATATTGATTGTTTTGATGAACGAATGAGAGGAGCACCATCGGTATGAACTAATAATGTAATTTTGTTGGCATTTGTATTCGATTGTTGCTGATACCATTCACCAAAACAAATATCACTTGGTGGAAAAAGATGAGATTTGTTTAGAAAATCAAAATTTCGACACATAATCGATTGTATCTGACTTCGAATATCAAATCGAACAATTTCAATAAGTTCATAACTGCGACGTTGTCTAAAAGAAGTTTTGCAATTTGAATTAACACAAAACTTGAAGCGATTAGTATTAATATCGCATGATTTATAACAATCAGTACAAAGATAAGTTGTTAAACTGGGTGTAAAATTTCGAAGTGCTTTGTTCACAGTTTTCCACGTAGAAGGTAAAAGATTTGGTTTTGGCAATAAAGATTTAATCAGACGAAGAAGACCATTGATTTTCTGCTTATCTAAATTGATATTTAAATAAAACTTACTAATAAGACGAATAGCACTGCTAACAGTAATTGAGGAACCATTGTACAATAAGCGAGAATCATCCTCATATTGGTCATCATCCTCATCATCATTCCATTCATTATCATCCTCAACATAAACTTTTTGTGATGCAGGTGAAATATAATTATCATCATTCTTCTTGTCAAATCTTGATTCAAGTTTTTCCTGATTTATATTTTGTTCTTGTAGGCAGTATTCATTGTGACCATCATCCAAGTTGTCATTCGAAGAGCTAATATGTCGAGCAATTAATTGATAAATAGACTGACGCTTCATCTCTCGATTACGGCGTCGTTTATTTACTTTATGTGAGAACCAATACATTTGATTTTGAAGCAAAAAAAAAGAGTTATATAGTATACTGTAGCAAGAGTAAAAGTATCTTCAATAATATAATATTAACATTCGATGAATCATACAGAATATTTCGATCAATCATATCAATTCCTGTTTGAATATACGTTTTTATATATGCTTTGAAAAGAAATTTTCAGAATTAAAACAGTATGAGAATAGCGCCGATTTTCCGCGTTATTCCGGCGTGAAGAACGTTCGAACATATTACGATGATTATTGTCGCTATAGTGCCGAACAACGCCACAATAAGGCGTTTTTGCGTTATAGCGGCGCTACTAGAAAAAAAAGGACGACATGGGGGCGCTCAAATATATCCCTTGTAAGACGGCTCCATTGTATTTCTCGTCTTCATCTGGTAAGAATTGCCCCTAGCACCTTTTCCTATACTTATAAAAAATGTGACTAAAATCTCATGATAAAATTTCATATCATAAAATTAATATTGACCATCAATTACATTTTCAAATTCTAGATGAATCCATTATTAATAGTAAGATACGCTCATGCCGTCTTCTTCTTTCTTATGGTTCTGTTGCCGTATAGCTAGTCATGGCAGCTAGTATTTATTTTTTGTCAGATGGTTTCTGCGTGTCGTCATACATGCACGGAAATGGGTATAAAGGAATGTGGCGAGTCCAATTTTTGATTGTGTCGACATTCAGTAAATTGTGTATACAATTCTTTTTTAGAGTATCTTTCTTCATTAGGCGGGTAAGATCTGAACAGGAATAATGATTAAAGGATGAAGACAACACTCAAGTCCTGATTCGATAAATTATTGTCGGATACCATCGAGATTTCTAGCGATGAGAAGAGTAAATTAGATTTCGGTTTCAGACTATGTAGTTTGATCGATACTCGTTCAACATATTGTTAACTTAACATGCATTTGATGTTTTTCAGACATGAAAATGCTAGTAATAGGATCGAGTAGTTCGATAAATTTTATTTCGAAACAAGAATCAAGTATGGTTGATTATTGGTTAACAAATCACCTTTACCTTGCCGTCTCATTTTCTTTGTGGCCATTCAGATATTCCGCTTGAAAGCTTCTCATTGAAAGTAATAATAATAGTGACTGTGGCTGTGGGTGTGAGCGAATTCAGATAAAATGCCCACACTCACACCCACCCACATCTATACTTGTGAAAGTTGAGTTATTTGGCGAAAACATTGTCATATGCGACTACTAGTGTCAATTATTAATATGTACTTTTTTTTTCTTTCTTTTGATTTTTAATCCATGAGAAGAAAATGTTAGCAGAGTGTGGGTGTGAATGTGGATGTCAGTTTTCGCTTCACTCGCACCCACACCCCATTATTTTCTTAAAAAGTCCTTTCCTTGACTAAAAAATCCAGACTCAAAATTTTGAAAAGCCGACTGCATATTCGGATTTTCCGACCTGATTACCTTCGGTTAAGCCTTATAAAAAATCATTATTATCTCAAAAAAGTCCATTCCTTGGGAAAGAAAGTCGAACTGAGAATTTTGAAAATCCGATCTCAGCTTGCGAATTCTGGCCCTTGATAACCTATAGTAAAATTTCATCAAAAGGTCCAAAAAGCTTAAAATAAAAAAATTCATTTCTGATTGGTCGACGCCCTAGCCAATGAGAAAGCCGAATGTTAAATCCGACCTAATATTTGGATTTCTCGACTGCAACTACCTTTGTTTTGTCCGCTGGAGAGAAATGGTTGCTGTCATAAAAATTAAAATAGCTGAGCTTAATTGTTTTTTCTTCTGGAGTTTGTAGCCCGTTTCGAGAGCTATCGAAATCACTATTTGGATGTCGATCATGAGTGTTCTTTCATGGATAAAATCAAAAAAACAAAAGGTGCCTTAAAATTTTGTCCGTCACTTTAGATGCCATCTAATCTAACGGGTTTTCCAATAAGACCTGACAGGATCCGATGTCGAATCTCTCGTCCTCGGTTTGTTCAAGAGTCTCTTCAATTCAACAAGATATACGAGTATTGTTCCAGCAAGCCGTTCGAGTGCCGATCACCAGGATTTAATTGACATCAAAGTCGTGCTATTCGATGCCACATGATGGTTTCCTGCTGATGCGGTTGAAAAATTGTTTTGCTACCCTAGATGCTGCACAGAGCTTCGCTGTCGAATTTGAACAACCTTATATTAGATAATCGGACAGAGATCTTCCTCGCACGGACCATTCCAGGTACCACTACAAATATCATTTCTCTAGTAGCATAAGACGACTCATCGATTCGCTGACGAACGATTAACATTTGAATGATACGCCATTTTCATAAAACTCAACAACACTTTCGGGGACCTACCAGTCTCATCGGATGCACAGAGTTACTAGCTAACGTTTGTATATAGTGCTGAAATGGCCACTCGGAAAACTGAGAAAATAGGCTTCGACAAAGCTTGTGTGTCCAACGGCAATATTCTTTTTACACCTTACTGTAATTATGCTTAGCGGATAATATTTAGAAACGAGACTGAGCAAATCGAAGGTCAGAAATCGTCCATTGTGTTGATTTGTTTGAAATAATTAATATAGTTCTGCGAAGTTCAAAGTCTCCATACCATTTTGTCCGCCAGCAACTAACACCTTTCCATTTGTCAATACGGATGCTGTGTGCCTCTCTCGTACATGATTCATCGTACCAATAGCTGTCCAAGTTTCAGTTGAGGGATCGTACCACTCAGCATTATTTAGACGATAATTATCATGAGATCCACCGGTAACTAATAATTTTCCATTCATTAATACGGACGCTGTGTGCGAAGATCGTGCATTATTCATGTGGCCAGTAGTTGTCCAAGTTTCTGTTAACGAATCATACAACTCAGCACTATTTAGATAATTATCACCGTCCCACCCACCACATGCTAAAACTTTTCCATTTGGTAAGACAGATGCTGTGTGACCCTCACGCGCATGATTCATGCTACCAGTAATTGACCAAATTCCTGTTGATGGATCATACAACTCATCATCAATTAAACTACCAACATCCCATCCGCCACTAACTAAGACTTTTCCGTTTGTTAATACGGATGCTGTATGATAATATCGTGCATGATTCATACTACCAGTAATTGTCCAAGTCTCTGTTGATGGATCATACAACTCAGCACTATTTAAACGATAACTATTATTTGAACCACCAGCAACTAACACTTTTCCATCTGCTAAGACGGAGGCGGTGTGACCGTCTCGCGCATGATTCATGTCACCAGTAGTTGTCCAAGTTCTTGTTAATGGATTATACAACTCAGCACTATTTAGAGAATCACCAGTTGATCCACCAGTAACTAGCACAAATCCATTTGTTAAGACGGATGCACGGTGGATGTCTCGCGGATTATACATGCTACCAGTAATAGTCCAAGTTTCTGTCGATGGATTATACAACTCAGAAGTATTTAAATAACTTCTACCACTCCATCCACCCGTAACTAACACATTTCCATTGGTTAATACAGACGCTGTGTGAGAAGATCGTGCATTATTCATACTATCAGTAGTAAGTCATTCTAGATAAAAACATTTCACTATATTCATTCAGGAAAGAATGTGTATTGTTAAATGCTCTAGAGAGTCTAGGTATATGCGAAAATTTTCACGTTTCGCAAAAATAAAAATCATCTCTTACGTTTAGCGAGAAGTTTTTTGAATTTCTGTAGATTTCAAAAAGTCTTAACTTTGTTGTAGAAAATCGTACATAGTACGATACGATAGTAAGTTTCACATTTTTCATAATAAATGATATGGATGAATAATAGACAAATTACGTTTGTATTTGCTACCTGTTATTACATAATTTACAAAACTTAGTCAACTTTCGATTCTATACAGCTTTTATTGAATGTACTCACCCTATTATAAAACTCATCAGTTGAATAGAAGAAGGTACGACGAAAAACAACTAGGTTTGAAAGTTTTCGCGACCACCTATAAAGTTTGTTCTTATATCCGTTTTTGATTTGTTTCTGGTCAATTTCTGTAATCAGAAACGGTGTCTAGATATAATTGTCCTTTGCAGGCACCGTTCCAAAGTCCTATTTATTTGGATAAAACAAACTCAATAATAACTGCAAATAAAAGAAGAGTAAAACAAAATTCATTTACATTCACTTCATACAAGTATGCATCTCTTAAATCGACCTTTTTGGTGATATGAAAATGACGATATATAGTTGTAGAAGAAGTAGCGTTAACAAGTATATTGCAGATAGTTTTGTGTCTTTAAAGGGCAACTAAACAGGTATTGATCGTTATTATATCATTCAATAGTTAAATCTTTATTCTTTACTGGAAACTGAAAAGTAACTCTCTCTCTACATATTAATAGATAAAGTTATGATTAAAATGGTGAAAAGAATTTTTTCTATCAGGTTTATAATACCTGACAATATGGTTATTTGAATTCTGATACGATATATCTTATAGATCTTTAGAATTGAATGTAATTTCTACAGAATTCTATAGATCCATTAGATGTCCTTCTTATTTAGAAATCAAATATTTTCTTTTGTCAACTCTAATTTAATTCAAATAAACCAGTATGTTCAAAAGTAGAGCGCATAGTAATATTAAAAGAAGAGGAAGAGCAAATCTCGTTGTATAGATGTCAAGAGAACGAAATAAACTTCGATAATAACGAAAAAATAGTCAACAGCAGGAATGATATTGGATCTTTATTTCCTATGATAAGGATTGAATCATTCATGATAAAATCACTGATCATTTTAGTGTCATCTTTAACTAGGTGCAGAGTATTGTTGGATGTGAAACAACTGCCTATATGCGCTTTAAAAGACGCATTTATGAAGGTTAAGAAGTGTCGTTTCAAAGCTTACGTGACTGCTGAGTAGTGGTCACAGTGATTGTTGACGTTGACGTTGATGTTGTTACCATTGTTGTTTGTGACACTGTCGTTGTTGAGGTTGATGTTATTGTTGTTGTCGATGATGTTACAATGGTAGTGATGGTGGTTGTTTCTTGTTTTTTTGGTACAAAAGCGACGAATTTTAGCAATAGAGAGAGAGTAACTGCAAAAACTATTAATAAAATAAGAGAGATAAAGATGATCACAACTCGCCGGTTATGCCACCATTTGCATGTTCCATTATTGTTAATAATAATCTGCGTGTAAGCCTGATTCTTATGCATATTATATCCTTCCAAAAATTTAAAGTCCAAAAATAGCGTGTTTTTTGCTCGATACTATTTTATATTTGTCTATCATTCTCATAGGAGTGAAAATAGATAAAAAAATATATTATCTCGAGTGCGAAAGCTACTGTTATATTCTTATCTTTATATAATCAATTTTATATGTAAGGATGATAGTGCAAAACCATTCTTCAATTCTAAGTTTTCTTATGTGAAATTTTCTCACTTTAATATTGTTCTTGTATTCAGTGTAGAGTACTGTCTGAGGTAATATTATCTTTACTATATGTTAGAAAAACACCTCTTATTTGGTGATTTGTTTACTTGCAGACATCTCTCTAAATAAAGTACGGAATTTATAAATAACCTTTTCCCAAAAAAATTAATGAAACATTTCAGATGAGCATGAATTTCAATACGAGAGATCGCAGTGACGATATTTTTCTCGAATATCTAAGTACAATAATTCCGATCCTAAATTTTCTAATTTGATTTAGTGGCGGAGCCTGGAACCAGAAGGCTCAGCTCCTCTACGGATCTTTGAGCTCCCTGGCAAGATTTTTGATACATGTGTTTTTTTTCTAGTATAAAAACGTATTAGTGATTGTAATGCAACGTTTTAACACATGTATCTTATTTTTTGTGGAACTTACATATGTTTTTGAAGAAAAGAAAAAACAGTAAATATAAGTTTCAATCAAGTTTTAGAGGTCATGAGCAGTGACGGAGACAAAGCGAGCGCAGCCCTTCCTAGGAACCTTAGAGCTACTCCTGCGAAATTTTTGAAAAATGCATTTTTCTGATGAAAAGATTCGATTTTGTTCAGAGAAAACAAGGTTTTGATTTTTTTTATTTCATTAATTTGTAGTATTTCGTGCGTGCAGTCGAATATTCTAACACGATTATCTCGGTTTGGTTTGACTATAGCCAGCTCTGAAATTGTATGATTTCTAAGGTAAAATCTGTCAATAAGCAGTCTATGTATTATTGTGGCAAAGTAATATTTTTGGAGATAATTTAAACATTTAAAACAAATGACAGACATACAAAGAATGATACAAGATTTAAGTGATTCGTGTTTCTTATCAATAGAACAGGATTTCAAAATTGGTTTTAAATATATTGTTGATGTCTCTGCAATTAATCATAACAAGATCGATTTAGGGTGTGGGTGTGAATTCTCTTCTCGAGAGCACCTACATCCTTGGGTGGCATTTTATTTTTACTTTACTGTGTAATATAATGTTTACTAACTTTACTTCAAAATAAGGTCATGTAAAATATAGTAGAACAATATATGTTAATTCAAATTTTGACAACTTTCTTAGTTCAGTACAGAGAATGTCACAGAGCAAGACTGGACGCCTTCAGAACATATAAATTTACGGTCTTCTTTTGTCCACACTCTCAATTAGGTCCATTCAAACACGGGCCGAAATTTCAAACTGTTAGACAAAAACCATAATGATGATTCCTACTTATCTGTTTAGTTTCAAACATATCCTTTTATTTTTTTTAGTTCTCTGTGGAAAAATATGACATCTGAATCGTAACAAAATGTTCATTATATCATGACAAGATATTTGACATTGAATTACAGATGATACCTAATACAATCATGGAAAACAATTTCTTATCTTCGATAAAACAGTGAAAATTAGACAAGTGAATCATTATTGTATGAGAATTCCGATGCAAACACTGATAATAGAACGAGCACTATTCAATATTTTCAATTGAATTGCGATCCACGAAAGATAATCTTGTAATATGATAGATTAAAATGTGATCAAGTTATGCGAAATATATTTGATTTTTACAATTGTTTATTTTGTAATGTTTAATGAGAAATCTAGACAATTTAGAAGATTTTTCTATTTACATATAGATTTAAATGTAAACGAGTAATATTTCATGTCATTTTTCTGACATACTAAACTCAGTCCATGATAAGATTTTCAATGTTGATTTGTTCGAATTAATCAAACTAGAGAATCATCCATATTTCGAATCATTTGAATGAAAATTATCTTAACAACGTGAGAATACTTCATAAATTTGACTCGTGTCAAAGATGTTAGTTAAATATATTTATTTTTTGTATATAAATAACTATTGACTCATTTTCATGATCTATATTTTGGTTATGTTTACGAAAAAAGGTAAATGTGAGAAAATTTTCACACTCACGATGCATCAATATGACTCCCTCGTTTCTTTCATTTATTGACGTCATTTGTATTGTTTCATAAAGGTATAAAATGTACCACGTTTCGTCAGTTCTTTCAATTTGTATTGATTTGTGTTTGGTACTTGAATTTTCAAGTACCGACAAGTAAGTGAGATATTCAACAAATCATGGAAATCTATTTTCCGATTTGACATTTATCACAGAGGGAAATAATGCATCTCGATTCCTTCACTCTATCCCATGGAAAAAAAAATTTATAAAACAAAAAGAACGACTTAACATGCGTTTTGTAACCGTTCGTTTTTATAAATTTTTTTCCATAGGATGGCAATAAAAATAGAGATACTACTAACATATAATTTCCATTTGTTAATCCTGTTTTTCTATTATGTTATGTTTATCTCAACATACAAAACAAAATATATCCATTGATTTTCAATCGTTATTTTGAGAACAACTATCAATTTGTCGAATTGAACCTTCTCTATATTCTGCTTGTCTATTTTGATCAATTTTGAAATATAAAAAAAATGCTTATTTTTGTCATTTGATTTTTCAAATAGAAATCATTTTCTCTCGGCTGATAAATCTAAGAGTAATCAATTGGTTGCAATCAAAATAGATATAGAAAAAACAAACATCGAAATAGACTTTGTTTACAATATACTTTTAAGTTTCTTCACAGTCAAATATGATGAAAACTATTTCATTTTAGAAAAAGAACAACAAATTTATTCTCAATTGATCAATTCAGAATTGTTTCTTAGTGATCAATCACAATATTAATTGAAAAAGAAAACAAAAATGTATTCTTTAATGTTTATCTATTTTTTTTCAATTATATCAGTAATTATTTGTACAAGATCTCGTACAAATGTGATGAGATTAGCAACATGGAATATTGGGCTAGAAGAACAACTAGCATATGAACGAACACCATCAATTATCAAAGCTATTCGTGAGAAAAATATTGATATTCTTTGTTTACAAGAAGTATGGGGTGGCCCACAAATTTTACGTGAAATTTATCAAAATGTCAAAGATATTTATCCTCATTTTGAAGTCGTAAATGATAATATGCGTGATTATATTAGTCGTACTCAATTACCAACACAAATATATAGTCCTGCTTGTTTAGCTTCGCAAATAACAAGAACACAAATTTGTCTTGCTACATATTGTTCTGATGTTAATGATGAAGCACAACTTGTATGTGCTGTGACTAAATGTTCGACACAAATTCTAGCTCTTTTTTTGAATCGAAAATGTTGGGCATGTATTTTTGATCGATTTGTTAGTCGTCGGGATCCATTAGGTATGAATTATTGTGGTGCAGTTAATTTACCTCAATTAATAAGTACTTCATCAAGTATTAGTCCTAATTCTACGGAAGCTCCTTGGGATCATACAATTGGTCTAATGATATTAGCAAAATCACAATATCCATTGAAGAAATTAGCTGCTAATTTATATTCAGAATTTTATATGGCACCTCGTGGTTATATAATTGTTAGTCAAGAAAATAAACAGTTAATTATTGCCAATATACATGCCGCTACAGTTGACATATCTTTTCCTCATGCGCCTATTGGAACATTTTTAAATAATAAATATGGTAGTTGGAGCGACGAAAATAAAGCTCAAATAATCGAACTTGAATCTCTAGTTTGGAACTTTTTACGTAATAATAAACAAAAATATAAAAATGCTATTATGGCAGGTGATTTTAATACGGGTATTGCTAATTTTGAACATAATGTATTAGCAACTCAACCTGATAGTTGGAATTATATACATCGATTACATGATACTGATGGATCAACAAGATGGTATGATGATTATTCAGAAATGCATAGTCTTTGTACAGGATGTGCGGGTAATCTTGTTTTTGAATATACTAATAACTATATTTATGATCATATATTTACATATGGAGATCTGTTTGACTCATCTAAATTATTTACACGACGCATCTTTGATGATCGGATAAAAATTAATTCTACAAATGGAATGGTAATAACAAATCTTTCAGATCATTGTGGTATTGAACTGATTACTATGTGTTAAGGAACTTTCAATACATGATTCTCATAAATTACATATGATTTAAATTTAACTGAACTTCGATATTTAATCTTGATGATAAAATTTGACATTTTTCCTTTTTTTTTTCAAAAACAATAGCAGAGATCTTTTCGAATACTGAATAAATGTTATACGAAAAAAATCAAGCAATCCAGAATTCGACTTTGACTATGAAGAAAAATTGTATAGTTAATACAATAAATTTATCAATATGTATTACTTTTTCCTAATCTTTATAGCAATGAATATAACTTATGTCTATTTGTTCGTGAGTTTTATCGCCATTTCTGAACAGAATATTCTTCCCTTTTCTTATTTTTATTTTCAAATTATTAGTCAATATCTTTGATCTTCATCAAAAAATTCAAAATAATAACTTTTAGTAAAGAATTTCTTGAAAGTAAATCAATGCAAAGACCGCTGTACAATATTTATATTCGACTGAATAGATATCCAATAACTATTCACTTTCATAATATCGATTTATCGAGTTACACACAAAGAAGAAGAAGAATAATAATAATATTTATCGTCATCGAAAACATCATTAAGATACACGAGCAGGTGATAGATACTTGTTTATTATACAGACTGCACATATAACATGAGTCAAGTTTATATCGATTACCCAGTCAAACGTGAAAACTTAACAAAATGCTGTATTTACATACGCAATGTGCTTTGACACGACATAAATGTGAACACATCACAGGATAAACTATATTCACGATTACACACAATAGAAACATGTGCATGTACATGCATTTTATTGTTGCATACGAGAACATACAAGCATTTGTTGAAAGAACTGTCGTATGCACATGCAAGAAAATTTTAGAATGTTCAAAACAAAACGAAACATATGTAGCAACTCTAGTTGAACTGTTTTTTTGTCATGCTTATAAAATTCTCTTGAGTATCTTGAAGCGATTTGGCCAGCTCAGGCGTTTGAACTTCCTGTTCAAGCGCATGTAAGATGATCACAAACGAAATATTTCATGAAAAACATTACAATTCCCACGTATTAGTAACAAAAGTTCGCCCCCATCGCTTTCTAGCAAAAGTAATACTCCATTGGATGTGATTGTCTTTCATAACTATGAAAACGATATTTATGATGCGTGAAACTAAGTTTTATTATATTTTATAAGTGTTTTGAGTTTTTTTTTCTTTAGTTTTACATTCAAAACGATTCGGTTCATAATGAAAATTCATAGGATAAATAACAAATTCGGTAGCAGATAGACAAAAAAAAGGAAATTTATATGAGTAAGTAGATTCCGACATCCTCAATGGCAAGAAATATTCTTCCATCTTAAGAAGAAAAGTTTTGATTATTTTATTCTAGTTGATTGTTTCAAGTGTACTCATTCATATGATTTTCATGAGTTTAGCGTATGAACTGCTTTGAATATGCACATAACTCATGCAAGCATTTACGTGCTTTTCTATGAAAAGAAAGTCATGTAGGATGGACACATATTGAGGTCTGTGTATATTAAGCATATGAAAGAGAACTTCTTCACCATTCGACTATCTATGTACGTAAGAAATGTAATAAAAAAACCTGTATGATATTATTTATAGTCCAATAACTATTAGAAACACATATACATGAATGTCAATAGATATGAAGAGTTCTAAAAAATGATTAAGATTTTTGAGTTAATATAGTTCTATCATATAGAAAGGTAATCTTATTTTAACGAAAAATAACTAAATATTATACGTCGAAGAAAATATTTAACTTTTGCATGGACCGACGTGTATACTGTAAATAGCTAGAATTTCATGTCGATGCAGAATGGCTTTAGTAATAGTTTTCATAAATACGAACTTTTTGCATTGATATACAACATTTAGCAAAGTTCTAATCATCCTGCAGGTATTTGCAAGGATAAGAGTCATGCATTTGGTTACTAAACATATGTCTCTGCATGTATTACTGTTTTGCATTTATGCTTAACAATTACTGATACTTCAGATAAATTGCATCTTCATGTATGAGATGCATCGGCTGGAAAAATATTTTGCAAATTAACGCGAGTTTCTAAAAATTTTTTCGTAAACATACAAGTTTTTTAAAATTTCATGTTTGACACGGTGATGGAAATTTTTCTACTTGTCTTCATCTCATTGTATGCAAGTTTTATCAAATAGAAAACTTGAAGAAAATATAGGTTTAGACTTGAATGGCGATGGATGAATCGGAAGACCCGACATCACATCTCGAATCAAACAAGTAACTCATTTCGATTTAAATCATAATGAAATCATTGACAGATACCGATCTCCACCGGGTGAAGTAATCTCAATGGGATCAAAATACATCACAGTAACGATTCTATTCATACCTATGAAGGTATCAATTAAAAAATTTCGAATTTCGAATGAGTTCTAAGGTCATTTACTTTTCTCGCTGACTAATGTAAACATCACGCTGTTCCAAATGGGAGAAATCTTTTTTGTTTTCTAAAGTCTTTAATTTGATGAACATAAATAAATTTCGTAGTTAAATAATTGATTGCATTCATTTAATCATATGCTCGTCTCATATGACATTTTTATGTGGGTATGAGTGAAGAGAAGACTGACACTCACATTCACTTGAAAGACAAGAAATACTAAAACATATTGATGGTATCTATAATTTATATGAAAAAGATGAAGCAATATTTCTGAAAAATTAAACCAAAAATTGAAGATCATAACTTAAATAAGCGTAATGATCGACTTTCTGAACGTCACTTACTTGATCAATTTGATTTTATTTGTGAATGTTTGACTAGTGTTAAGAGCTTTTGTTTTATAAATGAATATCAAGTATGCTCTTTATTATCTCTTATCACCTTCGTGAAATTTCAAATGGATAGTCTTGAACAACATAATAAAATTCAATCTATTCGATTGAAATGATCAACAATTTGATTTTGTTTTATAATCAATTAAATCACATTCTTTGTGACATTCATATAGAAAAATGAATATTTATTTCATTTGGAGTTTTTTTTCTTCAAATTAGTTTTTTAATCTTCGAGAAAAAAACTTTATGAAAAAGATTTATTTATGGCTACAAAAACGAAAAATTCGATGTGTCGAATCAGTCGAGATAGTTATGTTGAAATTACGAACGATTTTATTGTAAATAATTCCATTCAATTTATACTATATTCAAAACGTTAATTTTCAATAGAATATTGTTTTGTAAAGCTTGATGAATTTGTTTCTTGGTCAATTGAATAAAAATTTAACCATTTTATCGTTCTATTTGTCATTTCATTTAGGTTGACAATACGTTTTCAATTAGTTATCGAAAAATGTCGATGAATTGCTTCTTCTCGCTGGAGAAAAGGGTGTAGGAATGTAAGTATAAAGAAGAAGCACACTCACATCGCACACATGTGGATCCTCAGAATCCCATTGATACCAGTAGACCGCAGAGATTTGTAAAACTCAGTAAATACCATTGTTTTCGAGATTTCATTTGCATAAGCCTATATCTATTCATACTGGTAATCAATTACTTCAGATTTGTTTTTGATGGGAATTATTCGGTAATTCATTTGCATCACCCAGTACCTGAGCCGCATATGTATGCACACTGTTCAAACACGTGCATGGAATATAGTTCGAAACATTACCAATGTTAGCAGGAATACATTGAAATTCGTTCAATCTTAGGTATATATGTAAATCATATTGGAAGAATGGTCTATTTATATTTGCTTTTATGTAACGGATAATGCGAAAATTCTCAAAAGGTTGTCGCTCAATTTTTAATCGGTTGCAACAAGTTTCAGACGAATAACGAATATCTACTCAACACGGAAGTTGGAATCAATTTCTAACTGTTTATTCAAAACTATTCAAACATGTCTTTTCTTTGAGTAACGAGAACATCTTTAAATGGTACTCAAAATCAGCCTTTCAAATGACTCACAATAGATGCAGCAGAAAAAATTGATCTATTAGTATTGAATAATGTTCATCAGCATAGTTGAGCATATTCTAATATTCCAAATAGTTCAGGAAACGACGTTTTTGTCCTTTAATGTGATAAACGCTAGTTTTGGTCAATATATTCAAATTTAAACGACAAAATGCCGTTTCCTGAACTACTTAGGTACAGAAAAGTACATGACACAAGAGTCATTTGATTATTGTATACATAGATCGAGAGCAGAGACGAGAAAAAGTGTAATTTCGGACACAATTGTCCTCCAAAGGATAATAAGACCGAGAGATGATGAATTGAGCAGAATAATGAGCAGTATTTACATTAAGAAATACATCTGACAGAATTATGGTTTCACGATCTTCAGGTATCTGCTAGATCAAGCGTCGACCTTGGAGATAGATAATGATTGATTTTTGCTCCTATCACAAAACGAAGACAAAAGGCATTTGTTAATAATGAACTAATTTCATCTCAGATCAAGAAATTAATGTTTAAGCTAGAATATTCCATAGCAGTACACTATTGAACAACAAAATTTATACAATGAGAATGTTAGACGAAAATAACTTGTTGAACGGAAAAATGACAACTTTTTAAATGCAAAGATAATCTATATAATTTTATCTTTAGCATTATTTACTGAATATGAATTTCATGAACTATTACTATATTATTAAGAACAGTTGTTGTTGGATTATTGTTCGATTTTTTATATTGTCGAAATTCAATAATAATGTAACATATTGTAGTCACACTTAAGTAAACAATTTGTAAAATGATCGATATACGAACACACAATGGTGAGGCATAGGAATAAACAACAACACAGCCAACATTTTGAAGTAACAAAAAGATTGAGAAAGATATTTCTTTTGAATCAGCAAATAGAGTACCATACAAAGCTGAAAGAAAAGCAATACATACACATATCAGAGTTTCAGTTAGAAATAGGTTCATATGAAGATAAATCGTGAAGAAATAGATAGAAAGATCGATAGAGAATTCAATTCTTAACAAAATTTGAAATATAAATTTTTGCAATAAAAGAAAATTGAAAACCTACAAAATAACACAAGAATACTTGTTTTCTGATAGTTTCTCTAGAATAGGACTTGTCTCTGATTCAAACAAACACATCTCTAAGAAGATGCTTAATAAGATGTGCGATTAGTTAATGCTTCTATCATCAAGATGTATATGTATCTGAGCACCTTGCCGTCATTTTTCGAAGTTCTCTATCAACTCTAAAAAGATGACTGCAGTTCTTAGTAACAAAAAGTATATATATGATAATTCGCATAAATAAGATGATATCTTATTCAATATCTAGCTGAACAGTGTTTGAACTTTTTCATAGTCAACTTCTTCTTTTGTGATAGGTTTTGTTTACAGTTTTGTACAGAATAGGCACTACGAAAAGTATCGCTTCATTTTTTTTATTGCAACATTTAAATGATAATGTCTTTGCTCATTTAGATCTATGTAAAAAAAACTTTAGACTCAACATCTAAGGGATTAAACTATAAGACATCATGCAACCGCTACAATAGAGAGCAAAATAATCTAATACGTGGGCTCACAATACTCAGCACGGTATCACGAGTACCTTCAAAATATATATGATGATCTGTGGGATATTGTCTACTCTACCATCCTTCCGCCTCTTAACCATTATAGATAGGCTCTTCTAACTATTTGACCTCTCTACTTCATGATATGTAGAAAATTCCAAACCTGATATGAGCGAATTGATAAGAGCCGATATAAAGGATACAGCACATATGCCTGTGAAGAGTTCGACTTCCATGCAAGCAAGACCACATATATTACATAAGAAAGAAGTGATGAAAGTATAAAGCATACAGGACGATCATGACATAACCAATAATGACACTAAAGATGCTCGCAGTAATACCAAATGAAGTCATCACAAGACCTATGAAAAATAGAGAAGAAAATAAATTATCATTAGAATAGAAATCGAAGTCTTACTCATCAACATATTGAATGCCCAAAGTGCATGTGATGAAGCTCTACAATAAATTTTAAAATGATTGCGTGTTGATTAATATGAATGTCGAAATCAATAAACGGCTTTATTTAGATTTTTTGATTCTTGTCATATGCTCACAAACAGAATCGAACATTTCTTCATTCAAAAGAGTGTCTATTTCAAAAAACAAAATTTTCCTATTCTATATCTATTCACCTATACTATCGATCCACCAAGAATATTTCTCGCAAGTTATTTTTCCTACAATATTTCAATGTCTTATCAGTGTACTGATTATTTGAGGAAATAATAAATAGACAAAACTTTTAGATTAATATTCGACATAGTTTTATCATTCGTCTTGTATTTCCCTCGATTTAGGTGCATTCAAGGTATTTTTAGATAGTCAATGACTTTGCAGAAATTCTTTTTCTTAGACGCTGAATAATACTGACCGACCTGTGTGTAAATACTAGTGATAAATGTTTCGGAAGCATCAGTCCCGAAAGTTATTGGTATCGAGAGCAAACGATTTAGATCAATCATCTGTTTCAATAATTGTACTGTGAAATCAAATGATTTCCGTACAAGACTTTTAGAATTATTGTCTATAACAAAAAATAAATATATATATGTATAAATGGCATCATGTGTAATGAAATGATATATAAGACACATGAAATTACCTTGCAGTTTACGTTTTTGGTCAAGAAAAAGGATAATAAATATGATGGATACGAAAATAGTACCGATGAATGCACTATAAAGAATATAAATCTAAAAAAACAAAGAAGTTAATTCAAATATATTATTGTTCAATTTCAATTTACCGTTGTAGGTGATATATGATTATCATCGTTTTTTAATTCATATTTACTGGTTAAGAAACTTGTTCCACATTTTTTCGGATCATTTATCGTACTTTTATCTATGTTTCGCAAAATGAAATACGTTACGAGATTACCCCAGATTTGATCTTCAATAACATAAATCAATAAATAAATTATTAGATTAGTTGTTTATGAAGAAGGTTTACTAGTTTGAAATGTCGAAAACACAATACCAAAATATTTGTGCATTTTATTATTACCATTATCATGATCATTTTCATCAATACCGAGTACTGTAACATAAGCATTTTGAGCTGTCCACATGCTCACACAGAAAATATCACATATGATTGCCACTAAACAACAGCATTTGAATGTATTTTGTTTGAACATATTGATACACTTTACTCGAATAGAGAAGTACTGCTTTAGGATACATATTAGCTGCAGTATAAGCAAGGACTCTGATTTGAACAATGGCAATGATCCATTTATAACCAAAAAAGTACATAAGTGGCGTAATAAGAAAAAGAGCACCAAATATCGAAGCAATCGAGTCGAGTATCAATGAATAGAGACCAACGGTTTTTTCTGTATTGACACTAGATTGTAAATTGGCGACAGCATTATATGAAGTATATGCGCAGACAAGTAAAAGACAAACTATAGTAAGATTTCGCTTTTTTCCTCCTTTTTCCTTTTCATTTTGATCTAAATTCTTATTGTTCTCATTTTCAACATCAGCCATTCGCTCTACAATTCAAAATCTGATGTTTTATTTTTTGCTGCTTGAACTTCTCTTGAAATCTTATCATAACAAATAAAGTGTTGTCTCAGTAAGAATTACAAGTTCAGACCGTTGATTCTTATCCTTAGATGATTATAATGAAGACAAATAAAATTGAATACGTTTATTATTCTGCTTTTTCCTACTTTTAATGAGTGTTCTTCCATTTTTTCTTTTATCTTTAATTAAAATTCATATTTGATGATTTTTTCTCATTTTTCTACGTTTTTGGTTCTTCTTTTTTTTTGCAATAATCGAGTCAGTTCAATTCAGGAGTGTCGCAATGTGGAGAAAAATTTGAAAATATTTCTGTTTTTACACTACAAAAGAAAAATAGAAAACTATTCTATCGGTTTGAAGATCTCGCTATGTTCATATCTATATGTCACAATCTTGTCCAATTGTTTCGTCTGTCGGAGCCATCAGAGTATCGATCGGTTCTGGTCAGTTCTTGCCACTAAATTTTAATTGAATTCTAACCCGAAGAATTCTAACTTTTTTCAGACTGGATCCAGTCAAAATATGTCGAGAACAGAAGGGAATCTGTCAGCAAAACTTTTATCGAAATCTAGTTAGAAGGAACATGAAAAAACCGACTAGACAAAAATGATCTAGAAATATCGGTATTTTCTCTTGCATTCTTTTGCATAGGATATTGTAAGATGACATACATTTTCACTTTTCAATGTAAATATTTTGAAATAAGTTCTAACTACTAGAGTTATTCTTGTCATAATGCAGTTGATATAAATTGTTTAACAACAAAATCGAATTTCTATAATCTTACAGTGATATCTTAGCAAGATTTTTCAAGACTCTTATAATACAACTTAGGATAAGAGTTTTGAGACTACGATTTTCGCCTGATCTTAACAAGATCGGAGATAGAATCTTGGCGGATCGACACGATCTGAAAAATACTTCAGTAGAATATTTCTTCTGTTATAAGCTTAGATTTGCTTGATACGAATATGAAGAGTACTAATCTACGATGCATATTTATCCGCACAAACGTTGAAGTGTGTTATGTTCAAATGGAAAGTGCTAGGGGCCTGGTTTTTTTATCCACAGAGAGAACAAAGTCTGTACTTTAAAATGAATATTTTTAGAAAGAAAATAGTGTGTAGTTTAGGATCTAAAATTTTGAATTTTTTATAACCACTAAAAATGGCCTGTAACCAGGGTAAATTTATAGATTGCTTTGCATATTCACTTTGTGTTAATTTTTATGCTTTAAAATGGAGTATAAATTTTGATTAGCTTCGTAGGTTTAATTTCAAAAACATTCAAGTCAAACACATTTGATCGTGTCTAGTTATAAGAAAATCTACGACAAGTGCTGTTTTGTGTTCCGTCACTTGTCAGCTAATGCAATGTCTTTTTCTTATATTTCATATAGATTTTGTAGGGCTTGAAAAGTTGCATCTTTTGGATATCTTTTAGAAATTTATGATGCTACAAATGTTCAAAATTTTTGTCAACAATCATCAAATCTACTTGTTTTGCTTTAAATGCTAATTACCGGTTACCATGGAAACGCAAAAAATTGGGAAATATATTTTTGGAAAGCCTAGGTCCCACAATCTACTATCTCCAAGTTTAAATTCACTCTCCTCTTTTTTAGTCAGCATAATGCAAGTTAAAACACGGAAAAGTCCGAAAATAATCAAAAAGAGTTACAATCCATTTTTAGTGATTTTAAAAAATTTAAAATTTTAAGTCTTAAACTATATTCTAATTTTTTTTTTGAAAATATTCATTTTAAAATACAGTTTTTGTTCTATCTGTGGGTGAAAAAATTAGGCTTCTAGCCCTTTCCGTTTAAACACAGCAGACCTTGACATTTGTGCGAATACATATGCATCGTGGGTTATTTCTATGATGTCGCCTTATATTGTTATAAGTTTATTATCTTGGCTAAATATTTGTTGAGTGTATAGTCACATAAAAAATGAAGAAATAACAATTAATAACACATCATTTTCTGTATGATGCTTTTGCCTGATAAATCAAAAAGAATAATAGTAGAACATTATTGAAGAGAAAATAAATATTTGGTACCTTTCCTTACATTTCTGTGCATGTGCTTCTTAGACAACGTTTAGCAATAATAAACATGACTGAATGAGTGCAAAACAAATATGCGTAACCGAGTATAAATGAGAGATGAGCCGCTGCCAATTTTTCGTCTTCGCACTAGAAGCGATCGATTTTCTTCTATAAACGTTTTCACTGATATGAAGTTCATGTTCTTTTTGTGATTACTTTAGTTTCATATCTTTTTTCTTATCTATTATGGTAACAAATATTAGTAAAAAATAAGCAAATATCTTTTTCGAAATAAATCTATTGTGATAAACGACTACCGTCTCTAGTGAGACTCTAGTATTATTTAGCTTTTACATTTGTGTTTTTTTAACTTTCAGATAGTGTGCAATGCTTTCAATAACTAGATTTTCACTCATCTTGATGGTGTGGATGTGATGAGCTACCACAGTACAATTGTATTTTATAATTTGATAATAAATTGTTATCAAGTGACAAAGTATTAGTAAAAGAAGATTCATTAGAAAGAATAATGGATGTGAGGTGTCGGTGTGGGTGAAGAGGATAATAACAACACTCATATCCACACCTACATCCTCTCTAGCATCTGAATTTTTGGAAATTAATTTTTCTAGATATCTCTTCCTTTTCGTATTCGAATATTGTTCTATATGTATGCTTCACAGCCGAAAAAAGAAGATATTTCTGAAAATTTTAACAGTATTTTGCGGTCCTATGCTACCGTGGTGTTTTGCTTGATAACAGGAAACACAAGCTTTTGCTGATTAAGATAAATTTTGACGATTTTTAGGAACTATTTGAGGATTTCATTCAATCTTTACTCTCAACACTTCAGATATTTTTTCTATGCGGTCATATACATCGAAATAAAAAATATTTAGTATTCTTCTGTTCTATACTTGGTTTTTAGTCTAATTGAAGAAATATTTTCTGGTAGTTAATCGTTATTTAGTAATATAATTTTCAGATCAAAAAGTTTGGAGGGTCTGAAATTTATTTTGTTTAAAACTGATAGCAAAATTTCTCTCAATGAAAAACGACACTAATTGAATAGTGAAGGAGAACAGCGTGTATCTGGCATTATTTGTATATAGTTCAAGGAAATGAAAGTATTCACATAGATTCAGACGTAATCGTATGTTAAGGGATGATTGATAAACTATATATTATCTATGTCGAAAATCGTTAGTATAAGTTAACATGGGAAAATTATTCTTGTCGAGTATCTCATGGAATCTCATAGTGTGATATATTTGAAGTGGCTATGCATATTATTACTTCTGAGAGAAACATAGAACAAACAGTGCAAGATACAGTTTAAAAATATTTATTGATTATAGAATAATAGTCTGAGATTAAAATGAGAGGAGAATAGCTAATGAGAGTCAGGGAGAATTGAACAATGTTTTTCTCTTTTCTTCACATTTAACAAGCATTGCTTGCTATTGAATAAGCATCGATTGACGACGTCGACGACCACTATTCGATGCTACCGTGGTAGTTGTTGTCGTGGTAGTCAGACTACTGCCATCACCGCTTCCGATATCTGGCAGGTCAGGAAGGTCAGGCCATTCAGGCTGATCAGGAAAGTCGGGCCCTTCAGACACATCTGGTTTATCAGTGAGTTTGGGATTTGTAGTCAAAGATCGTGATGGAGTTGGTGTTAGACGACGAACGGGTGTTGGCACGGAACCAGGCGATTTGATTGGTGTCACTCGAGATGGTTGCGTCGGTCCGTAAACAGACGGAGTGGGTGGTTTAGGCTTTACCGGTGAAGGTGGTTTAGGTTTCACCGGTGAAGGTGGTTTGACTACCGATGGAGACGGAGGAGGTTGTGGTTTGACCACCGGTGGTGGCGGAGGAGGTGGTCGTGGACGCACGACTGGTGGTGGCGGTGGTGGTGGACGCACGACTGGT